ATGATATCAGATAATATGTTAAATGAAATATAAAATTAAATAACTTATTTAATTATACTTTTCATTTAATATCACATTAGTGTTATATAGACTGTGATTATAAACTTAGTGAGGTTAGATAGCTTCAAGCATGGTAGCATAGGACCCACAACCACTTGACCTCGATAGTTAATCAGACCCTTTGATTAATAGATGCCATATTTATGATTATCCACATAAACAAGACTTCATTAGTAAATATGATCAAGCATCGCAGAAAAATACTTGTCCCCTTTCATCGAAACCTTCGTCCAATTGTTTTGAATTACAGCCCGATTTGTCCCCACTTGACCCAAAGTAAGATAGATTTATTGAGGGTGTAACCTCCAATGTTCGGGTTTTAATGCCTTTCTAGAGCAGGGCGATAGAGAAGACCAATTTCTTTTATAATAATAAAGTTAGATTTGCAAAGAAACATAAAAATATATTGATATGTTTGTAGTGTTTATTTCATCTTACCACATAGTTGAATTATCTGTCCATAGGTAAATACACTATAGAGATGAAATACTAAATCACGTATAGGTTAGGTGAAACGACACATCAAGCATTTAACTTTATCGTGTTTTAGTTCGAACATTTCATTTTCTAACATATTGTAACAGAAAAAAGACGTAGCCCCTATTTGTTTCTCATTTTTGGAAGAATAAGAATGAAAAATATAGTCGTTACGGATCTCACACAACAGATAGAAATTCAAATTTGGTGGTTTGATGTGATGAATAACGGTCATATTTTTCATTTTAATGAGGAAAGATTGGGAACTAAATAGGGGCTTAGCTTTTGGTATTTTAAATGTTAACTATTTACTTGAGAAAAAGTCAATTGTGCTTAGTGGTGGCAATGAGTTGAGCGGGCTCGGCCCTTAATTGCACGAGCTCGGCTCGCGCTCGTGGCTCGTTCTGAACGAGCCGAGCTCGCCAAATTTTTTTTAAGAGTTTTACAAATAAATGAAATAATAGAAAACACTTTTAAAAAAATAAAAAGTGTTAAAAAATACAAATAATTTAACGAAAATAATTTTTTATTTTTTTTATTTATATCATATTGTAATACTTTTTATAAAGTATAAAATATTTATATAATGAAGACGAATAATTTTTTGAAATACATTTACAAATTTTTTTTTTATTTCTTTTTAAAGTAGATAAAATATAAACCCTCCTCTTTTATAGGCTTGGGACCGGTTATATCAATTTTAAGTAGGCGGAGTTAAAAATTGCATACGAACAACTTGTTGTAACGTGTACAATTTTTTAAAGAAAATTAAATTTAACAATTAAAAAATAAAGAAATTATGATTAATATAATTAAATCAAATATCACTCACCTGACGATATGCAATTTCAGCATTTTTATCTTATAGTCGAAAATGAACATCTTGCCAATCCTCCACGCACATTAACGCTTCCAAAACATTTTTTTCAGTTGGCTCCTAACATCAGTCAAAACCCTTTTACCTGCACTAAAATCAGACTCCGAAACAACAGTGCTAAACGGAGGTGTCAGCAGATCTTTCGCAATTGCAGAAACAATTGGCCAACGTCTTTCATACTTTCGCTAGAATTCAATTAATTCTTTTGAATTTTTTTTAATTGTTTTGTCTGTTGGCATATTATGATTGAAATAATCAATTAATTCGGCAGCCATCGCATTTTGAGTTTCAACCGATGTTTGATGAGATGCAAATGTAGACGACATGGCACTAGATGAACACATTGCAGTTGCATCATATCTAAATGTATTAATACTTTGAAATAAATTCATTATTTCGACATCATCTTCTTCAATTTCAGCAGAAGGAGTAGTTGCAGAAGATACCCGACTAACATTCACACCCATTTTATTCACATATAAATCATACATTCCACATAATGTTTACTCTAAATTCTTATAAGTGATAGATGCATCAAGTATTAAAGCTTTATTGATTTAATCAATTACGTATTTAGTTCCCGATATATTATATCGGGGGTCTATTGCGCATGCTAAATGAAATAACATAGACAATTCTTTCCAATATTTTCTAAACTTTAATTCCATAGCAATTATAATTTCACTAAAAGTAGGATCATTTTTATATTTATGGAATGTTCTTACAATTATATAAAAGAGTTCAAGAACCATACAATTTGTGGGATAATAAACACCGGATAAAATTTTTGTGGTCTCATAAAAAGACGTAAAAAATCGTTTAACTTTCAAAACTAAAATCCAATCAGATTCATTTAACATATCATCGTCATCACTTCTAACGTGTCTATTATTATAAAAATCAGCTATTAAATTTTCGAAACCTTCACATGACTTTAATAGCAAGTAAGTAAAGTTTCATCTATGGCCTACGTTGCTAACAAATGTTTTAGTAGTCGTCACCCCTAATTCGGTACAAAAATTTTCAAATGCTTGTTTTCTACTAGGAGATATCGTAATATATACTAATACATTCTTAATCCTTTGAAATTTATCCTTTATATGTTTTAAACCATTTTGCACAATTAAATTTAAGATATGACACACACAACAAATATAAAACAAATACACACCAAAATCAGGTTGAAGTGTCCTATACAATTTATCGACGACTACCTTATTAACACTAACATTATTAAAAGTAAAAGATCGAATTTTAGTCACAATGATATTCTCTAACAATACTGATAATAGCATTATATATGTTATTAGCATTGTGAGGAAACTCAATAATTCTTAAAGCAATAATTTTCTTATGCATGCACCAAAGTGGGTCTATATAGTGTGCGGTTGCAGCTATATATACTCTTTTATTAATCACTTCCCATATATCAGAAATTAAAGATATAATACCTCCATATTATTGCAAATCCATAATTAATTGTTGTTTTGAATTATTGAAATAATTTATTGTATCGGTATGAAGAGTGTTTCGACTTTCCCCAACGTACATCAGTTGTAGATATTCTTTCACGAACGAGACGAAGTATTGATTGTCTGCAATAGTCAGAGGCAACTCAGTGGCGGCATCAAATTTCACCATTCTGGTTCGAGTATTGTCTTCCGAGTACACCCACGGGGATAGGGGTGAAGTTGTAGAATCGGCGCTTGGACTGCCAAATTGCAATTGTGTTTGACCAGCTAGAATAAGTCCATGTCTGACCGCACATGCTTTGTAGTGCGCGGTTAAGATGGGTGGTACCAATTTTTTTTTGTCATGCCAATCTTTGTTGGCAGTATTTACATACTGCTTTAGATTCTGGAAGGCCATCGACAACTTTTCCCATTGAAATCAACTTAAAGTAATTCCAACATTTTGCTTATTTTTTGGCCTTTCTCTTTCCCTTCGCATCTGGAATGTTTAATTCAGCATCTTCATCCTCATGTTCCGCTTCGAGACGTTAATATCATCCAAATCAATTGGATTGTGACTTCCCTGACCGTGAATGTGAACATTTTCAGGTATCGGTACGTCATTTAGACCGACAAATTCATTTGGAAATTGACTTTGTGGCGTCCTAAGCGATTCGTCATGATGTGGCTCACATCTTGTATCGAACAAGCTTTCAATAAATGAGCGTTGATCCATTTGTTTGATTATTTATGATGAAATCTTAAGTAGAAGAATATAAATGTAGTGAGATTGTGAGAATTGAGAATTGTATGAATTGAAATTGTAACTAATAAACTGTAAAAATTGAATTGATATTGTATACTTTTCAGCATAAGAGAGTAAAAACTCGATAATTGATATAATAAAAGAGAGTTGGGAGAGTTAGAGATTTGAAGTAGCAATTGATATGAAAAAAATCTATGGGGGAAGAGGTATTTATAGTAGAGGGGGAGGGGGGAAATGAAAAAAGAAAATAATTCAGTGACCGTTTGGTCACTTTTTTAAAAAAGTGACCGTTTTGGTCACTTATTGGACGAGTCGCTTGTGGGATCGCCCGCCCACGAGCGGCTCGCCTTTTAGGGGAGCCGAGCGGGCTCTGCTTGCTTCCTAGCGAGACCCGTTCGGCTCGTGTTCGAGCTCGTGATTTTACGAGCTCGAACGGCCCACGAGCCCTGTTTTCACTAAATTGTGCTAATTGTTTGATGGTTATCAACATTTATACAACTTCCTTTTCGAAAACTCTAGTGCAAAGTGAATATGCATTTTCAATTATCCCGGTATATATTTGAGTCTCTATTTGATTTAGTTAAAAATCATATTGTTATAAGATTTTGATGAATATTGATACGATATGTGGTTGAAAATTTAACGAAAATTGTAGATTTTATAAAATGTGTGATCGAAAATGAATTTAGAGAAAAATAATTTTTATAAAAATGGGCAAACAGAAGCTGGAGAAGTTTACTGAGTATAATGATTTATCAATGGACACCATTTGACTCTTTATTTCGTAACTTAAGATGACTAATTCATCATATTTATCTTAATGGTCTTCCAATTATAATTAATTTGTATTTATTTAAAGTTTCACTAACTCTAATTTTCAATGATGATAGGGTTAAAAATAATACTACTTGTATATAATAGAATTACATAATAATAATTTATGTGCTGATGATATGTCGAAAAGAAAGTTGATAATTTATTTATTTATTAAAAAAATTTTGACCTAATCATATTTCACAATATTATACATATATAAACTATTATGTACATATAGAGCAAATGAAAATTAGCACTTTTACATTTAAGTTCATTACACCTTACGTCTAGCTCAAAAAAAGTCAATAGAAAACACGCACTCTTACATAATTACATTACACCTCAAAAAATTTAGATCAATTTAAAAAAGTTTCAAAATCAATAATTAATTTTAATCACATATTTTATTAATTTCCTAACTTTTCAATAACATATTTCATCAATTTTTACTAAAATATATTAAAAATTTCATTTACTCCCGACGAAGTAAAGGAAGTTGGAAAAATGGACCGAGTATATATTCTCCACTTCATCCGGTCATTTATTTCATATATTTCTCGATGACAGTCAAAACCGCCTTCAGTTCGGTCCCTCATCAATTCTATGCCCTAACCTAGAAAGCTCTACAATTTGCAGAGTTTAATTCCATATTAAGAAATTCATGCGATTTCTTCATCTCCACCGCCATCTCTATGTACAGTCTCGTTTGTCGTCAATATAATTCTTCAGTTATTCAATATTTGAATTAAAACCCTTGTGCTTATATCCACTGCAAAAATACTGTGAACAAACCCTAGGTTCTTTTTTATCCTTCGATTTTTCATCATGAGCCCTGTTCAGAATTTTGAGGAGCATTCTCGCCACCTCATTGAACTCAACCTCGGTACGATTTCTGAGTTTCTTCCCCTTATCTCTGTGTGTGTTACATTCATGCGTATGTATGTGCTTTAATTGATTGTCCTTTTTTTGGGTTTTGTACAGATACTCAGACGAGGCTACGGATGGCTTTGGAAGTTCGGGATAGTCTGGAGATATGCCACACAGGGGAGTACTTAAATTTCTTAAGATGCTACTTTCGGGCATTTTCTGCCATTTTATATAACAATACGAAGCCACAGTTTGTTGATAATCCCGAGCACAAGCTTCGTAATATTGTCATTGAAATCCTCAACCGCCTTCCTCATAGCGAGGTCCTCAGGCCTTTCGTTCAGGAGCTTCTAAAAGTTGCAATGCACGTGCTCACAACGGACAATGAGGAAAATGGATTAATATGCATTAGGATTATCTTTGACTTGCTTAGAAATTTTAGGCCCACATTAGAGAATGAAGTTCAACCGTTTTTGGATTTTGTCTGCAAAATTTATCAGAATTTTGGGGCCACTGTCAGTTATTTTTTTGAGAGTGGGGCCGAGGTGGCGCCACCACCAGCCCCAGCGTCAACTTCGGGGTCTGTGGGCTCCTCATTCCTCAGTGATGAAGTGAAGTCAATGGAGGTTTCTCACGAAGTAGGTACCTTAAGTGGGTATGTTGGGGCTTCAGGGCAGCTTAATCCAAGTACGAGGTCGTTTAAGGTTGTTACGGAGAGTCCGTTAGTTGTTATGTTCCTCTTTCAGTTGTATAGCCGTCTTGTTCAGACCAATATTCCACATCTATTGCCATTGATGGTGGCAGCAATATCAGTCCAGGGTCCAGAAAAGGTTCCCCCCCATTTGAAGGCTCACTTTATTGAGCTGAAGGGTGCACAAGTCAAGGTATTGTAGATTTTTCTGATGTATTGCTTGGATTGGTATTTGATTCTTCTTTGAACTTTTAACTACTTAGAGATTACAATTATGGTATGCTGGCAGGAGCTCCCTGAGGAAAGCAGATTAGAGGGAATATTCAGAGAACTAATTTGCTGTTAATATATGTAGAAGGGAATCTAAATGAATGCTAATAATGTTTTCTTCCATTGTATGTACAAGTAGTTTCTAGTTTCTACAGGCTCGAAGTATCAATAGTTTTATCGTGTGCTAGAATACTATCATGCTGTTTCTATAGTGACACGGGACAATTTTTTTTTTTTTTTTTTTGTAGTGTATTATTGCTGACGTCTGCTTAACTGAATGGCTGTTTAGAATTCAAAACCTATAGGAATCAGCAATAGCTGCTTCTTGCAAAGAGGTTGCTTTGACAGCATATATTTGGGTTGTTCCGACTGAAATGAAAAAAAAAAAAAAAAAAAAACTTCTTTGTGATAAAGAAACTAATAAGTTGGTTTTTGGAATTTAAAGTTGAGATGAACCAAGAAGAACAAATACTTGTTTTTCCCTCTGCTTCATGCCCATAATCTCATACATATTGGTTTTTCGTTGTTTCGGTGCTTGAAGAAAGAGTTCACCCAATATCAACTTTGTTTTTCCTGCTTCACCTCCACACCCTAAGAGTTCACCCAATATCAACTTTGTTTTTTCTGCCTCTCCTTCACACCTTAAGAGTTCACCCAATATCAACTTTTTATTCTTCTTTCTTTTCCTTTTTTTTTTTTTTTGGGCCTCACCTCCACATCTTTTGTGCTCGAGGCATTCCTTGTTTAGTACTAATCGTTTGTGCACAATTGCAGACTGTGTCTTTCTTAACTTACTTGCTGAAGAGCTTTGCTGATTATATCAAGCAACATGAAGAAAGCATATGCAGAAGCATAGTGAATCTGCTTGTCACTTGCTCTGATTCGGTTTCTATTCGAAAGGTTATATCTTGCCTGACAGCTGCTCTTATTATTTATTGTTGGAGCACCTGGAAATTGATGAATAAATTTTTTGTCTAGGAATTATTGGTAGCTCTGAAACATGTTCTTGGCACAGATTTTAAGCGTGGTTTATTTCCTCTAATCGATACACTTCTGGATGAAAGGTACTTTTTTTAAAATAATTTTTCATTGAAGTGTTCTATTTATTATTATTATTATTATTATTATTATTATTATTATTATTATTATTTGGCTTTTCCTTATCACTGGTTGTCCTATTATTTAGTATCTATTTCTCTTGTCCAAGTCAATGTCATTATAAATCAATTCAAACCGGGATCATTTAGGATGCATTTTACAACTGTATCAAGAGGCTGCGGAAGCTTGGATACTGTTACTTAACTTTACATTTTATGAGCAATTTAACTAAATTTTTTTGGAAAATATGTGTGTGAGCAACTTTTGATTAAATGATTGTATTAGCTGATAATATGTTCCAAGCTGGAGCTGTCATATAATGTAACATTGTTTTAGAGAACTATCTATTGGTAGGATTAAAGGTTTTATTATATGCTTCACTTTACGGGTGCCTCAGTACCTTGGTTTTGTTGTTCTCCTTGCAAGAAAGAAGCATTGGAAAGTAGAGCAAGGTAAAATAGAAACAGCGTATAAGTGAGTGTAAGTTGTTCTCATGTGTCATTTCACGTAATAGATTTCGTACATGGATATGCAAGGTAGTCAAAGAAGGCAGACTATGTCAGTCTAAACCAAAGCATCTTATGTTTACCCTTCAAGTGTTGATTTTTAAGTCAACATCACAAGGTTTCCTCAAAATAATGAAGTGAAGAAATATACAGAACTTGGAAGTAAAGCTCCACTCTATTTGGTCCGTGAAGTGTAATGCTTATAACAAGAGGATAGATACTAGTGAGTACCACATCTGGTAGAGACCTTGGCCGGTTAAGTTGGCCAAACATTTAGCATAAGAAAGAGGCGGTGAAGCCGCCTATATATTTCTAATTTACAGATGCTAGAAACAAATCTAAGCACACAGATGAAGACTGTCTTAATAGACAAAGATGCCTCCTGGCATGAGCATGAGAAGAGCGGAAGATAGTAAATTTTAATTATGAAAAAGGACTCCATTGTTAACTTCTATATATGATGTCGGAGTGGACATCTCTGTGACAATGTGTTAAAGTATGTTTGAGATATACCTTGTGGCTTACCTCATTGCTGGATGCATATTTGCCTTGAGGCGAGCGGATGCCTTTTAAAAATTGATACACCCTTGGTATAAAGGTCAATATATGCATGGGATGCAAAGTTTTTGTATTTGCTTCTGAACAAGAACAAATTTCTAGAAATTTTATGTTATTTTGAAGCTTCTGGGTATTTTCGAATTATGTTGTCTTCAGTTGTGCCCCTACATAAATACCTCCTTCCTAGAATGATAATTGCAGTGTTTGTAATTGGTTGGATTTTAATTGCATTCACCATTAAATAATTGTTGTTTTATTGAACATATTGTATGCACAAATTTCAAAATCTTCAATCCAATCTTTTATTTCTTACACTTGCAAAAAAGAGAAGAAGAAGAAATGTTGAAACTTCATTATGTTATAAATCCATTAGAGCAAAAATATAATGTTGGTTCATTGAACTTCACGCTTAGACATCCCTCTTCCTAAATCACCACCAAGTGGGAGGGAGAGGTGGAACTGAAAATCATGATCCAAGATTCCTCCAGAGTTTTAAGAAATACTTTCAATGATATGCGCATTTGGTCAGTTAAAAACATTGATCTTGTTAAAGATAGTCTTGAATGCAAACTCTTCTAGGGCTTTTCTTCAAGAAAATGAAATAATGACAGCCCTTTATTTGAAAAGTTTGCGGGTTCAGATCACCTTCCAAATGCGCTTTGAGTGCTAAGTGGGTACAATTAGAACTACATTTGCACACATCACTATCATGTACTAGTTGGATTATGATATGGTATACTAGTTAAAAAAAAAAAAAAAAAAGAACTGGATTTATAAGTAACTGATTCTGTGGAATCTCGTGTTGTTGAGTTGGAGCTTTTTTTCTTGTTTGTTGTAGTTGGGTTTGAAATTGTGTGTATAACTGAAATTTGACTGGTGGATTTAACATTCCTCAACTTTGTTGACACATTTAGAAAAATCATACAGCTTCGGTTGCCATTTTCTTACTAGTTGCTAACCCTTGTTATGATGCAAGGCTGTTTAAGTTCCTAACTTTTGTTTATGGTGTGTTGTTGCCTACTGTGCATTCTGATCTAAAACATTTTATAGCTTGTGAGATTCACTTCAAATGAATAACTGAATTGCCTCAGGGTCCTAGTTGGAACTGGCCGGGCCTGCTTCGAGACATTGAGGCCTTTGGCTTATAGTCTTCTAGCAGAGATTGTTCATCATGTGCGGGGAGATCTTTCTTTGTCTCAGGTACACTCTTTGTTCTCAATGTTATATTTATATGACCCTTTTGCTGGTATTCTACTTGTGGAGAAAAAAATATTTCACTATATCTTTGTACTATAAGCTCACTTATATAAAAGAAAATAATGTTTCTAAGGCAAGTTTGATACATAACCTTCATGAGCCACCCAAAACATGGTTTTGGGAGGCTATTTTAACCCATATAGTGCCTTCTTAAATCTTCACATTTTGCTTTTCTCAGATACTTTGTCAAAACTTGGTGGTACCTCCATATGTAATTCTTCTAATTCACCATGAAAAATGGTATTCTTAATGTTGGATTGTTGCAAATACCTAAAAATTAGTTGCCAGTGATAAAATAACTTATCGGCGTTCATTTTTTTATGGTAGTAAAAGTTTCTTGATAATCCAAATCGAGAGTATAACCCTTGGCTTCCAACCTCGACTTATATATTTATAAAGACCTGTATGCTTTGTACATCATCGTAAAAAACTTACACCCTACCGGGGTTTTTCTTTAAGAAGATCCACTATTTTCCAAGTTTGATAGTTATTTAGTTGCCTTCACTTCCTCTTTCGTGGCATTTTTTCAGTTCTTAGTGCGAGGGATTTGAACATCATTCACTTGAGTGATGAAGCTTTTGTTTGCTGGATGATAGTTTTTTAAGAGATGTGAAATGGATATGGGATTTTGAGTGCATTTTCTGGTTCCTTTAATATGACCATTGGTAAGCATAGATTAGAGTTGTATGTGGATTCTTAGACCTGCATAGGTGTAGGAATAAGCACTTCTCCTCGAGTACACTTGAAGTGGCTGGGAAGTAGTTGGATCACCACTATTGAGAGGATCTGTTTATTGGGCAATTTCTTATGTGTTGATTGTGTTGAAGAAATGAAACATGATGTCACATGAACAGGTGTTTAGGAGGAAGAACTTGCCAAAAATCATTTTTGGGGTGTCCTTTGACATGTTCTTGAAGGATACAATTTTCAAATTAATGTACCTACAAACCGTTGAGAGAACCCTAAACCGAGCCTCTTCCCTAGGATGGAGGCTCCTCCCATTACATCCAAAATAACTCAGCAGCTGTCGACTTCTTTTGGCCAGAGTAGCTACGGCGGACCTTCGACTGGAAACCCCATCGGCCTCACGCCACAAAACCCTAGCTCCTCTTACCCGCAAGTGACAGATATACGGTATGAGAAGTCAATCAGGCAAAGAACATCTAGCTATTCTCCGACGACCTGTCAGCTGCACGCGCCTGCCTGGTCGGCTGTGCAGGCTATTTTGACGCCAGTGTGGGAGTGGCTTTGGCGACGCACCGATCTGGCCGCGCGTGGGCAGCACGCGCCACTGTTGACAAGGCAGCCGATCCATCCAGCTGCAATTAGAACATCCCAACACCCGATTTTATCATCTGATGCATCGTTTGCACAAGAACAAGGGAAACAGTATCATGCTAATGGTATGGTGTACAATTCTCGATTCGGAATTGAGGAAAGAAAGTTCATAGTGTCGGTCTACGAAACAAGCATTGTTAAGCTATTGGAATAGGGAGTGAAGATTTCAGATGCCATTTGCACGAGGAGGTTTGGAGCCGTTTGGATGTTGAATTTGGTGGAGAAGATGAGGGTGACAAAGAAGTCAAAGGACTTCATTATGAAGTTCATTGAGTCCTCTCGAGCATTTAGTGATGGCAATGGGTCGAGCCGAGCTCGTGGCTCCTAAAACAAGCTCATTGCTCAGGGGGGCTGAGACGCTCGGGAGCTCGTGATTTTAAAATTTTTTTTTTTGGATTTTTTTGCAATTAGAACATCCCAACACCCGATTTTATCATCTGATGCATCGTTTGCACAAGAACAAGGGAAACAGTATCATGCTAATGGTATGGTGTACAATTCTCGATTCGGAATTGAGGAAAGAGAGTTCGTAGTGTCGGTCTACGAAACAAGCATTGTTAAGCTATTGGAATAGGGAGTGAAGATTTCAGATGCCATTTGCACGGGGAGGTTTGGAGCCGTTTGGATGGTGAATTTGGTAGAGAAGATGAGGGTGACAAAGAAGTCAAAGGACTTCATTATGAAGTTCATTGAGTCCTCTCGAGCATTTAGTGATGGCAATGGGTCGAGCCGAGCTCGTGGCTCCTAAAACAAGCTCATTGCTCGGGGCCTGAGCCGCTCGGGAGCTCGTGATTTTTAAAAATTTTTTTTGGATTTTTTGACGTTTCTTCACATTTTTTGACGAGGCTTGTAAGTTTGTAAAAAATGGCTCGTGGGCTCAACGAGCTGAGCAGGCTCAGCTCGTGGGTTTGAGCATATGATGAGCCCGAGCTGCCCACGAGCCGAGCCGACGAGCTGCTTGGCCCGTTTGACATCCCTACGAGCATTCTTGGCACAACGCTATGCAAACAGTCGTGGTAGGTACCTGATGATAGCACAATGTGGGGAGAGATGTCGGAGGGGAATGGTGATGGTGTCGGAAGGGGCGAATGGAGAGGGTTGGGCCTCGATCTCGCGTGTGTTTCAGGTGGTCATCAAGTTTTTTGTTGTCTGTGATAAGGTCAAGCATCGAACAGTCGAAGAAGGGAGCAAACAAAAACTGACTTATGTCGGAGTTACGGCAAATGCACAAGCCTTACAAAATGTCGATCAGCGGGTACTGGTGCATAAGGGAAGGCAGTAAAGGAGAGGTGTAATCCATGCGAGCAAATCTCGAGACCGAATAAGGATGGACAAATAGAGGTGCATGAGTCCAAGGAAACAGCTGCAGAAGGCATAATTGATAGTCCATTGTATAGAGCTAAAATTAAGGCTCGCTTCTTGGCACAAGGAGAACTTATTGAATTAATTGCGTTAATGGATAGCGAGTTTGCAGTGGGCTTCAGGAAGATTTACTGTCATAAGTTTGGGAAGGACTTGGATGAGTGCTCAGCGAATGGTAAAGAGGTAAACTTGGATTCGAAGGAGCCGACATCGAATTGGACCGATAATAAAGAGTTGCTGGTCGAGCCAAGTGGCGAATCCCTGAAGTGGACTAGAGCGTTGGAGGTGGAACCTTGGGTTGAGGAAGCAGAGCTGAATAAGTTGACGTTGGAGTCGGCGGTACTGGATGCAACATAAGACAAGGTCTCCACGACCATGGATGCATTGAACACGAGGCCAATAGAGGGATTAGGGTAAGGAGCAAGAGACTGGAGTTATCTTAGTAGAAAGTCTAGCTACGGGAGTTGTGGAATAGCAAGGGGCGACAGGGTCAACAACTATGGGTGTGAACACTTAATGTAGGAAATATTCTAAGTCTGCGAAAGAGAGGAACATGGGGACTGATAAAGCTTTGGTGGTATGGTTTGATGGTGCTAAGAAGGAAGATATGGATAGTGATGTTGTACAGGTGGAGGAAGAGGAGGGACAATATCACGACCCCTTATTAGCCGAGGAGATAGTGGAAGTTAGTGCGCTTGACATTAGACCTCCGCCATCTAACCGGGTTTTTCAAAAAATTCTGGATTTCATTAAAATGGTGGGTGTGTCCAGTGATGGATATGAAACTAGGCTATTGCAATTATTTGAGGAATTGGAGGCTAGTAGATGATAGGGGATGGGTACACCAGGTGGGAAGACAACAAAAGGTGACCTTGAACTCAAGCAGCTCGAATTCTCGGTCAATTATGACGTTAAGGGTGGCGATTCAAGGGTAGGATTGATGGGGAGGGATGGCGGAGTGTTAAGATGATCTAAAAAATAATTAGCTTAAACATGAGGGGGCTCAATGAAGCTGGAAAAAGGTTAGGTATTCAAAATCTGTTAAGGGGTTGGAAGGCTGACCTTGTATGCTTTCAAGAAACAAAGCTGGAAGTCGTTTCAAGAGCTATTGGAGCAGTCTATGGGGGGACAATATGTTGGGTCATCGGGAGGGGGGGGCTTCTGGAGGTTTGTTAGTCATGTGGGATACTAGGGTTTTTAATATGGAGGAGGTGAGTGAAGGGCTATTTTCTCTATGTTTGTTTGTCATGTGGGATACTAGAGTTTTTAGTATGGAGGAGGTGAGTGAAGGGCTATTTTCTCTATTTCTTTTGTTTAAAAATATTGGGCATAGTTTCCGTTGGATCTTTATAGGAGTTTATGGGCCTAATGCTAATGAGAGTAGATGTGGATTGTGGGATGAGTTGGCTAGTATGATGTCTTGGTGGGACCTTCCAACGTGTATTGGGGGAGATTTCAATGTGGTTCGATTTCCTACTGAGATGTCTAGTGGTGGGAGATTAATAGGGGCAATGGAGGATTTCTCAAATTTTATCAGGGATAATACGTTGGTAGACATGCCTTTGATTGGAGGAGACTTTACTTGGTCATCTAATCGGGATCAACCTGTTTTATCTCGAATAGATCGATTTCTGATTAGCGGGGAGTGGGAGGCCAAATATTCAGAGGTCACTCAGAGGAGATTGGAGAGAGCGTATTCTGATTATTTCCCTATTTTGTTATCGGGGATTGTGAGGTAGAGTGGAAGAAGGCCTTTTAGATTTGAGAAGACGTGGCTTAAAGTAGATGGCTTTAGAGAGCGGGTACAAGACTGGTGGGTATATTATATATTCAGGAGGTTTTCCAGTTATGTGTTGGATCAAAAATTAAAAGCCCTGGACACTTCTACTCGGCCTCAATCGGTTTGGAAGATCCCCATTTTGGATGCAGCTTGACCCAACCAAAGAGATTGAGACCTCATGTAACGCTAAAGAAAGGTTCAAAGACTCAACTTTTGGCTTCTTTTCTCCACTCTCTCCCTCAATCTTCTCATTGTCAACTTCCCTATTAGACGAATTCCCTCTATTCTCATTCAACTGAAGAAAATCTCTCTACCCACAAATTATTACTTATTTCATTTTGATCCTCAGAAACCAATATCTCTTTTCCTTTATAACCACTCAATTTTTCGAAAGAATTCAGCAGAATTTTGCTTGAAAAATCTTTCTCAGAAACTCTCAAGTTTCGAATTTTCACTTAGGTAA